AAAGACTTGCATGGTCTGTCCCAATGCCTGTGTGGAGAAGTGATGCCCTGAGTTTATAGGCTTGTTTGAGATGAGCGAGACCGACGCAGACCTGCGCAATTGCTATCGCCGTCTTGCTAGTGCGTTGCATGATGGTTAGTCATTTTGTGAGACTTGTTCTGGAGGCAAGCCTACATGAGACGTTGAAATCTTGCGGGTCAAAGACGCCGGCAGCCTTGAGAGCGAGGCGGAGCAGTTTCTCTCCACGAGCTGCGGAAGCGAAATGCTTGATGGGAAACCACCTTCTTATTATCAACGACTCGCTGGTACATCGAGCTGAGCGCTCATTGGTGGTTTTTACCTGGTGATGAAACTCTCCAATTGGCTGCGCAAAAGTTTGTTCTTGTTTTGTGTCAGTTTCACGTCGCCACTTGAATTCAGATTTTACATCATTGTTCCACAATGTTTATCATCATGAAGTTAATATCTATATATTTTATACTATACTTGCACTGCTTACCATTTTCATACTTTATTATATATCTTAGCATATTCATACACACTGTTAACACTGTTCATACTGCTCATAGGCTACTGTGTATTCTATTTTATTCATACACTGCACTGTTTATTCATCATTCAATTCATTCTATATTTTATTCTGTATTGTGTACATTACTTTTCACTTTACTGCTTTTTGCACTCCTGGTTAGACGCTAAACTGCATTTTGTTTACCTGCATTACCTGTAATCTGTGCCATAACAATAAAGTTGAAATCTAATCTTGAGCAGGAACAAATGTATTTACTTCATTACATATCCGACATTAACGATTAAACACATTTGTGCATTATTTATGAATGCAAACCGAGTTTAGCCGACTCCGAGAGGAGAGACACCTCTGGAGATCAGAAGAGAGAAACTTGCTCTGTCATACTGGGTCAGGCTACAAGGAAGTGGAGAGGAAAATATCACAAACAGAATACTACAGGATTGCTGCGAATATACAAAGTTCCAGGGGCGTGGGTTTGGCTGGAAAAGTATGGAGAGAACGAGGACATATGGAGTGGAGACCATAAAGTTTGCCAAAGCAAGCCCATTTATCAGTGTTCCCCCATGGCTTTTCCCAGAAGCTAATATAGATGTGACATGTGAGTATCATAGAAAGGAAAAAAGAGTGGCAAATAAATGAAGTGGGAATTAAAACGAGTATATCTGAACGAAAAGTATTACAATTACCTCAACATGTACACAGATGGATCTAAGAAGCAAGAATGCGTGGGGATAGGGGTATATATCCCAGAATTCAAAATATCAATCTCAAAACGAGTGTCAAATAACTAATCAGTTTATACAGCAGAAATACTAGCAGCAATTATTGGGCTACAATGGGTTGAAGGGGTCAGACCTGATAGGGGGGTGATATGCACAGACTCACTGCTTTGAAAAGCATACAGTCGACAATAACTGTTAGAGAAGATTTATTTATTGAACTTAACCATTGCTTACTGGGACTTCAGAGGAGGGGAATAGATGTGCAGTTATGCTGGGTGCCTGCACATGAGGGGGTTAAAGGGAATGAGCATGCTGATAAGTTAGCAAAAGATGCGTTACAAAAGGAAATAGCAATACCAGTTTGACTTGGAAAAGGAGAAGGAAAAGCAATAATTAAGAAGAAGGGTATGGAAATATGGCAGAAATGGTGGGAGGAAGATCAGAAAAGGAGGAGATACNGGTTGTGTGTGTGTTTTGTGTGTGGTTGCAGGTCTCAACTGCAGCTGTCTGACGAGCTGCACCTGGGGAAAGGATATAGGAGGATCCCAGCGGTTACGTCTCTCTCACTCCTTTGGGCACTGACCCCGGGCCAGCTTCAGGGACCTGTTCGTTACATTGTTTATAAGAGAAATAAACAATTGTTATATTTCTTACCCTTCGTCTCGCCTCCCTGCTTTTTGTTGCAGCCCAGGAGCCGGGTTGTAACAGGTGGGGGCATCTTGCGGAAGAGCAATGAGCGAGACGCCCAACACACCCGTGTTCATTTGCCCAGCCTGCTGCCTGCTGGGAGCAGATGGGCTGCCACGCTCCGCCGCCCTGGTCATCACCAGGGGGAAGTACAGACCTGGGCGGTGGACTTCCATGGACGCCGGACCCGGAAGTGCCTGACAACGAGAAGTCTTCGTCATCCTCCTCCCCGGCAAACGGAGCCATCGCCCCGCTGGAATGGCGAACATGAATGGCACCGCCTCGGCCATATCCTGGTCCCCCAAACACTCGAAGCAGAAGTGGTGGGGATCGGCACCCGCTATTAAGCCAGGGCACGAAGGACACGCCCGGGTCTCTAGAAGTGACGACTCCATGAAAGCATTTATGTATCTCAGTAGGTGAATGCTCGCATAGCATGGTTGAGAGTAGTACCCATAGAGTCCAGTAGAGGGCGGAGCCTGTGTAAGATATAAAACGTATGATATCACAACCTTTTTTTTTCAATGAGAACAAAGGGGAATTGGGGAAGTGTTTATTTTTCTACGGGTACATTTTAGTCTTTGCTTTCTGATCGCAACATTGAGTTCATAACGTTTTCCTGGCGTCTGTACATCATCTCCTCTCAATCATTGGAACATATTAAGTGTTTTTGGTTAACTAAATTACCTCTGCTGTAAAAACAATTTCAATCTGTTATGAATCACATCTTCCAGGTTTCAGACTCTACCATCATATCTATATATATCTATATATATCTATATATATATATCTTTACAGGCTGCATTCAGTGTGAACTATCTCTGTAATATTGTCAGATGTTAAATGAACATGGTCACATTGACAGAGCGGTGTCTATATTGCTGCAATGTTTCTCTGAGTTGGGTCGAGGGAGGTCTTAGAGGTTGAGGAGCCTTTCTCTCGGATAAATTGCTTATTTTTCCTCCTCTTCCTCTCTGAACTGGACCTGTGCCCCGGTCATCTGTTTTTATTGCAGTTAATGCTCCGAGCTACAAAAGGTCCACGATGCACCGGGAGCCTCCAGCCCTGAAACCCAACTTAAGTGCCGATCCATTTTTAATCACAGCTGAATAAATAATAGCAGCTTAGTTTTTAATATATAAAAAACACTGATGGAACAATTGTATAAGATCTGACGCAATTAAAAGTAGTTATCTGTGGTCTCCAGAACCACGCCGGGGTCGCAGAGCTAACAACACAAAACACATTTAATGGCCACCTTCTGTGAGATATTTAAATATTAATTTTGGTCATTTACATTTGATATACGCTGCAGCAATAAAGTGAGATTAAAAGGCCTATTTGAGATCGTTTTTCACACTTGTTTAATGGATTGGGGAACTTTTTATGACCTGCACTTTGTCCCTGTTGTAATAAGAGCAATTTATACTTCACTACATAAAATCTAACTTTAATGCTTGATAGAAACTCTAATTGTGTAAATCCCAAACATATATTCATTATGGTGTGAGATAAACTAGATAGAAACTGTGAGTTTGAGCACACATGCTGCCTATGTGCTCAAACTCACAGTTTCTACACAGGAAGGTAGCGTGTGGCGTTTTGATGTACGACTGCACGTCCCGGGGAAAAGACTTAATCAACAATTTGTGCTGCATGCAAATATGCAAATGACAAGACGGCATCTGAGGGTTGATTGTGAAAAAGAACAATAAATGAGTGGCATATGGTTGCAGTCGTCTCTTTGTCGGCAATTCCTATACACAAGGCAATATATATAGGTGGAAGTGCAGAGGCAGCAGAAAGCTTAACAGGAGCCTTCTGCTGCCTCGCTGTAATGACAGAATGAAGTTTGGGAGCTTTTCTCAGGTGGTTTTTGAGTGTTGAAAGCAGAAGAAACAATATTTCAAGAATGATTGTGCTTCCTAATCTTTGTTTAGCATGCTGCTCCGCTCTCTGAGTTTAAATGAATGTAAATATGTTTGTCTGTTAAGCTCCATTATTTCAGCGCACCTCGATGTGAGGCCCGCTGACTGAGTGCTGAGATGTAAAAGCCGTCCGATGAGTCTCAACGATATGCTAAGCTGCGAGTTAATAATTCATCCCTGAGTTTACAAATGGCACTGTTGCGTAGAGACGAATCAGTCGAGTCGTTGAAATGCTGTTTGGAGGAGATGAAAGTTTAATTCCTGTCCTAGATTACTGCTCCTCACATCTAAGCAGGGCCATTCTTTTCTGTTTTCCCGCCCGTTGTAATGGGAAGTGAAGGAGAGTTTCTCTGTGAGGAGCGTACTGTTTGGACTCAAGAAGCTGAGGAAGAGGAGGGATTGTTCTGTAAATGATGCATGTTAAAGGTCTCCTATATATCATGCTATTTTCAGGCATATATTATGGGTCTCAGATATATAAAAAAATATTAAAAACATGTCTATGAATTGTTTTGCTCAAAATACCAAACAGATCATGCATTTTAGACATCCCTCATATCCCTCTATTCCAGCCCTGTTAGAGAAACGCTGAGAGGAGGGGAAGGTAATGCCTGCTCAGACTTCAGAAGCTGTGATGAAATGCAACATCATGTTCCAAACCACATCAAGGATTATTTCTGAAACAGTATGGAGCAGGTTTACCACAAGGTGAGTTCCTTTTTTATTTCCTGCTTCTTCACACACATGCTCTCTTCAGTACAGGTTAGCTCTGAGTGTTAGCGATGCTAATGTAAACACCGACCATATTACGTCCAAAACACGTCAGGCATTGTTTCTGATAGCAACGTTTCTGATAGGGCCGTGGGTCCACATTTCAGATATTACGTCATATCGGACGCAAATCTGGATCAGCTCCGTTGTTCCCCCGTTTTTAGAGATTTGGATACGGAGGAAAAGAGAGAGGGTTTTATTTTCTGACGCTGCGTGAGTTCCCTGACACACCGGGGGACACATGTTTATGTATGAAAGACATCAAAAAGTGCATTTTGCATGATAGGTCCCCTTTAATGCATTGATTTAAATCATATTTATTATATAAATGGCTCAAGAAATGTTGAAACCTTTGTTTAAGAAAAAACTACATTTGTTCATTTAACTCATGCTGATAGCTCACATGAGCATTAAGAGTCAAATAAATATGTGTGATGTTAAATAACCTGCATTAAACACGGTTAAGTTAAAGAGGCTACAAAACAAAATGGGCACCACTAATTGTATTGGTAATTAAAAAAACGAAGGAAACATTTGCCACAGCACAGAAATGTTTTACATTTTCATTCACATATTACACAAAATAAATCAAAATAAACCGTGTATGACTTAATTAATCACATAAAAAATAATCTCCAATTTGTCTAAGAAAATGATATACTAAAAACTGTGTAATTAAATCATGCTGATAGCTCACACTAAAATAAAAAAACAAATGTTACTCACACATAAGCTGCTTCAACACTGTGGAAATGCTTTAGAAATGAAGCGTGCATACATACAAATACATACATCTAAAAGTATTGACTTCTGTCCTAAGTGTGTTTAGTCTGTCCTCACATCTCTTTCTTAAACGCTCCTCTGACTGCCTGTCTGTGATTCTCCCTGCAGGGAAAGTGATCAGCAGAGCGTTGATCTCCTCGGAGGACGATAACGTGGTGATGTCGTCCAGCCAGATGCCAACCAGGCCTTACAAAATCAGCCATGTTACCGTGGTGACCAAACCGGCCGGTACCGTGTCGTCCGCGGCGATGGCATCACACCTTGTGCACTTGGTGAGGAAACATCTGTCTGATACTCCTGTTTGTATTCTGTAGAGGATTTGAAGGTGTTTGAGAGAGAGGTAGAAGAATCTCTATCTCAATCTTTATTTATTTAGCACATTTAAAACAACCTCAGTTGACCATACTGCTGTACAGGGAACACATATAAAATAACTAGGGCTGTCAGTCGATTAAAATAGTTAATTGTGATTAATCGCAAATTAATTGCACATTTTTTATCTGTACTAAATGCTCCTTAGAGGGATATTTTTCAAGTTTGTAATACTCTTATCAACATATGAGTGGACAAATATGCTTTAAGCAAATGTTTGTTTATTATCATTGGAACCATGACAAATATTCTCNGGGTGCGGGAGGAAGGGTGCGGGAGGAGACGAAAGGGAGGATACACGCGAGCAGACTATGCAGAAGTGTTTTCACCACTCGCGTATATAAAAGCCCCGCCCCCACCTTCACAGCTGGTCCATTTCAACAG